CCTCATCCACATCATTAATAAAGATGATAAACAAAACTGGTCCTAGAACCGATCCTTGGGGCACTCCGCTAGAAACCGACCGCCAACCAGACATCGAGCCGTTGATCACTACCCGCTGGGCCCGACCTTCTAGCCAACGTTACAGTATCCAGGAAGGGACTGAGAAGTCTCAGAGGAGTGCGGCCTGCATGGGGCTGCGAGAGCACGAAAGCAAGGCACTGGGCAGAGCCACACACACAGGCTGCGCACAAGCTTCTCTCCTGAATTCTGACGCCCGCTTCTCCCCCGCAATTGCAGCCTTAGCCCCACTCCCCAGAGTGAGTGCTCACGCTGTAGTCACTCCTGGGTCTCCCCACGTGCCACGGCCACTCCAGCCCCATAGCCTCTCATTACCCCAGCCCTGGGCCTCTCCTGAGAGCAACCTGCCAGCTGCAATAGACTGTACCCTGCACAGCATTGGCCTTTGTGATGGAGAAGGTGCACTCTGATTAGAGCACATTAGCATGGCTTCTTCCCCCCGCCCCCCCCCGCTTGACCTGTGCCCAGCCCCAGACTTCTTGGGAGGCAGGTTCGTGCACCCCAACCAGGACCCATTGTATGGGTGTGTCTAGACTACATGGCTCTGTCATCGGAACCATGTAAACTAGTTTACCCGACCTAGTCAAAGCAGGCGTGCCAGGAGACTGAGCCTGCAGGAGAGGGTTCCCTTTCCCTCTCTCTGCAGGATCTGGGTGGAATTGCCCCTGAGTGGCAGAAGGGACCAAGGCAGCTGCTCCTCCAGTCGCTCCCCAGAGAGAGCCCAGAACAGCGACAGCAGCAGCCGCACCATTTAGTCTCAGCTCACGGCTCTGAGGTTTCCTTCCAGCCCCATAAGAGGCTGCACCTAGGGGTGCCTCCTGGCTTGAAGTGGTTTGCATCATTCCCAGGGTTGACAGCACCCCCACAGCTCTCAGCACCTCCACAGGCAACTTGGTCCAGCGCCCCAGCCCAGCCATACAAATGAGAAACTTCTCTTTTATGAAATGAGAGCCAAGGCCCTGTGGTAGGGTCATGCCCTCCCCTCAAGTGCCAGCAGGCTTTGCAGTCCCCGCTGCCCTGTGCCCCCACCCCCTATACCATACTTCTTCTCCATTGGCACAGCAGTGCTTCTCCCTCCCGGGGAGCAGAGGGGGCGGGGGAGGAGAGGAGAAAGCCATACCACGCCAAGGACAGCCAGGCAGATGACCACGGCGAAGGAAGCATACGCAGAGTAGGCACTGGCGTTGATGTCAGGGTGGCGGGTCTGGTACAGCTTGAGCATGCAGAGCCCTGCAATCATGTACATGAAGGAGGTGTCTGGGGAAGGAAGAGAACAGCGAGAGTGAAGACGAGGATTTTCTTTACTCGCAGCCCAGGGAACTGGGACAGCTCTTCAGAGAGCGTCTGTAAATCAACTCCCTAGAGCTATGCCAGTTTGCCCTGGCTGGCCTCCGATATTCCCTGCGAGCTCCCCTGGGCACTGTGAAGCCTTGTGGCATGATTGGAACATGCCAGTGCAGCACAGGGCCACCTGGATGGAACAGACAACCTAGCCTACAGGGAGACAGTTTCTAGGCCAAAGGGGCTGAGGTCCACATAGTGGATAGTGGTCCATGACTTTTTTTTCCCCCTTTAAAAGAGGGGCTGTCAGGATCTCAGAAGCAAACCATTTAGGCCTTATCTATGCTACCTTTAAATGCCGAGTGCCAGAGGTGAAGGGAATTCTAGCAGAGCACTGACACATTCACTTGGACGGTGCCTCATCAACTGCAGTGCAAAACTCACAGCCTTAGCTACCCGGTCCCTGCGCACCCAACCAGTGGGCAAGTTCTGAAGAGGTCACCCCCACCAGTGGGGAGGGGGGCAAAGTTCCACTGGGCTGATCTGCTTCACACTTGCATGGGCGAAAGCCCAGTGGCTCTTCCCCATACGTTTCGCTATTGGCTGGAACGCTCTACTTACCGAACTGGAAATTAGAGTAGTTGGGGCAGACGTGGTAGCAAGCACTGAGAACCCCTTCCGTCATCAAAGCAATGCCCATGGCATAGAAAAGACCAAAGTGTTTGGGGATTCCATACTCCTGGGAGAGGAGGAGGGGAGAGAACAAAATGGACCTGGGGTCAGAGCCGCACTAATCAGAGCTTACATTGCCGTGTTGCCCAAGCTAAATGCCACGTGTACAGTGCGTATAGCGCACAACAGCACCTTGCCAGGCTACTTTGCAGCCCAAGACCCAGCCAAATGGAACTCTAGGGAGGGCTTAGGGGGCAGAAATAGGGTCTCCTGGTTTATAGGGTCAGTTTTGACATTTGGGGCAGTGTGTTACGTAGGCACCTGTTCCCCCTCACCTCCATCCCCATTTTTCACACATTTACTATGTGGTCCCCTGAAGCAGAACGCAGCTGACCGGGGGGAATTTGTCAGTACACCAATCTCCCAGCCTGGATTTCCAACTCCCCTGCCCCTTGCGTGGTGATTTACACCCGGGCAAAGAGGGGTCTAAGATGACCACGGAGGTAAGGCTCTATCATGTCAGAAGAGTGGCACTGTACGCCCATTTCCCGCAGGTGCGAATGAGAATACAGGTGCAAGGCAGGGGGAATGGAGCCCCCCAGCCCTTCTGAGAAAAGCTCTGTGGCAGGAGCCATTTTAGGTCTGATTTGAACGTTCAGGAACCCTTATGTGCCCTACTACACTCGTGGTTCTCTACCACAAGTCCAGGGCCCCCATGGGGCGGCGAGCAGGTTTCAGCAGGCCCACAAGCAGGGCTGGCATTAGAGTCCCTGTGGCTCTTGGCAGAAATCTGAAGTTCCATCACATGGGGCTGAGGCCCGAGGCCCTGAGCCCTGACGCATGGGGCTGACACCAACGCCGGAGAAGCTTAACTTCCTGGGGGCCCTCAACCATTGCCCTGCTTGCTGCCCCCCCCATGCCAGCCCTGGCTTCTACATGTAGAAAAGCAGCTGTTGTGCCACAGATGGGCCGTGGAGTTTTTGCAGCACGTTGCGGGGGCCTCCGGAAGAAAGAAGTTAGAACCCCTAATCCCCACCACACTGGGGTGCTAGCTTAGAACTAACTCGGGGAACAGCGCCACCTACTGATGCCTCAAGGCCATTGCCAGCAGTGCTTCCGGCCTCTAATGCCATACAACGACATACAAGACAGAAACCTCTTTGCTGCGAGACCCCAGAAGGCCAGAGCTGGACACAGCGTTTAATTTGCAAGGAAAGAGGTGTCTGGGCTCAAGCACTTTTGCTTTTACATTCCTAACAGATGCCACAAGCAGAGAGGTGCTGGGGCTATGAACTGCCCCACTTGGAGGCTCAGCTCAGACACAAATGGAGCACTGGCTAGAAGCCTGCAGGTTCCCAGATCTCTGGTTAAAATAAGCTTCCTCTCCAGTGCAGGTCCCACAGAGCCAGCCGAGTTCCTTTGGAATAAAATGGGCTCGTCTCCCTTCCTTACACAGGCACAGAAAGGCTTGAGTCTCTCCTGACGGCTTTGTGCTGCTCAGGAGGCATCTGGATACCCTGCCACAAACAGGAGACGTTCACCCTCCAAAAAGGGATTGCTCAGAGCTACTCAGCCCCTTTGGCAGAGTCAACAGCAGGGTCTCTTCATGGAGTTACATGTTTGACACCTGGACACAGGCCCCCCGAGGAGAGAAAGTGGGGGGGGGGAGAAGGTGGGCACACAGCCCCAGCCCCTCAACCCCAGAGCATGTGGAGGGCAGGCATTGGGGGCAGCAACACTCCACCCCACAGTACGCCTACAGCAGGCATTCTGGGGATGGAACCAGGCTGGTGGTTTCGGAAGGCAATGCCTTCCCCCATACCTGCTGCCCATGACCGGGGCACCGCTCTGAGGCCTGGGGGGGAGGGAAGGGGGAGGACACTGCAGTCTGGGTGGCACAAAGAGCTGACTGCCTGTGGCCCAACCCTTTCTGCCTCTACCCCGTCCAGGGACACAGAGCTGCCCCCTGTTGGCCCAGGGCCCATGGCGGCTGTTGGCCCTGCTGCCTGGATGCCATGCCGTGATGTTCACATTACAAGTCCAAAGCTAGGCCTTTGCCAAGGGACTGTAGCTCAGACACCCGCCTTTCCCTGCACCCCAGGCGCTAACTAGAATTGGTTTGTGCCTTACGGTCAGCCCCTTTCCCTCCCCGGCAGGCACTGAAGGAAAGGGCCCCGCTTGGATGTTGGCTCCCACCCAAAAGGCAGAAATGTTTCGCCCCGGTAGTGCCCCAGGTGGGACGTGTGGCTGCACCAAGCGTGCCCCCCACTCAGAGTGCAGCTGCCCCCAAAAAGGGGCTCTGTCACCTGTCAGTGCAGACCCAGCGAGGGGCCCAGGCTCAGCGCTTTCCCGCCCTGCCCAGGCGGGGGGGGGGGGGAATCGTTCCATACCAGGGTGCAGGTGTCAGTGGCTTCCAGCCAGTGGCGGTGGAGAATGTCTCTGCGCAGCACGATGAGGACAAAGAGGAAGCCCAGCAGTACGTGGCCCACGTTGCTCAGGACATTGTTGAAAGCGCTGTGGGGAAGAAGAGCCCCCCAGAGAGGGAGCAAAGGGATTGGGGGGGAGGAGGGGAGAGAGAGATTTCCAGCCTCCCAGAGGAGGTTTTCCCACAGCCACCCTGGCAGCAAGTCCACAGATTTTAAAGCCAGAAGCACTCATTGTGATCCCCCAGTCTGCTCCCTTGCACGAAGCAGAAAGTCATCCAAATTCAACTAGGCTAAGGGCAAAGGACAAAGGCTGCCACCCTAAAGAAGTCAAAGGATTAGGCAGAGCTCTCCAAACGGGGGCGGATTTAACAGGCTTCACATGCCATGACATCCAGGGTCAGCACATTTAGCCTGGCTCAATGCTGCAATTCCTTCTCTGCTGGTCTCCTAACCCGCAGGGCGCTTCCCCACTGCTGCTTCACCTGGATCGGTGCTCTGGAATAAAGGCTGGACCGGGCTTCCTTCGTCACATGCGCCCAAGTGAGCAGCGATGGTAAGAGAACTGAAATTGCCCAGAAGCCCCACACCCTGGGGGTCTCCCTAATGTAACACTGTGAGAAGCCCCCTCAGCAACTGCATAGAGAGGCCCTAGTCCCATCCCTGACCCTACACAGTAACCTCACACTGACTATATTAGCGTGGTAGCTGCGAAAACCTTGCACTCCCTGCAGGGGGAATTGGAGGAAGGCAATGCCCGTCCAGCCGACACTGCCACGATGATCAACTGTAAGGCCAAGTGAGCCAGCCAGTGAAGGGACAAGAGGTTCACTCACCTCAGGACCCCCAGAGGATGGGCACAGAGGAAGTTGTAGTAGCAGATATCCTGGTTCCCAGTTACATTCACCACCTGCAGAGCAACGGGAGAGGTGTTAGCTTGCACAAACCGCACTTCACCCCGGCTCAGAGGAAGAGGGCAAAGTGAACCAGATCAGCATAGAATTGGCACTTGACAGTGCCATCCAACCACCACTGGATGCAGCCCAGCCCAGGGTTGTGCCCAGAAAACTGCCTGTCACAATCCACCCACAGGTAACACACATGGCATGGATGGATGGATGGATGGATGGATGGATGGATGGATGGATGGATGGAACGTCCCGAAAGACAGCATTCAAGGCACATACAATGAACACTTGGGCCTGGCTCTTGAAAACCTCTCTCGGCCCACAGATGTGTGTCTGGGTTTTGGGTTGGTTTTTTTTTAAGAAACACAGATAAATTTTAAAGAGCCAGGGCTGTAACGCTGGAATATCTGCACCTGACCACAGGAAAGAGCTGCCTAAAAGTTTCCATCCCTCATTAACCCAGCTTCAGCTACCAGCCCATGTGTCAGGCAGGGCTTCAGGGGCCATCTGCTCAGTCCATCTCCAGTCAAGAGCATTTGCTTTACTTTGTTGTTTTTAGTTTGCCTGCTTTATGTGCATTGGCCCACGTAGTGGAGAGACCGGTACAGCTGTACTGAGAATCAGACAATAGGGCCTCAAAGATAAGGGTTCTGTTTTGGTCAGGACAGTCCCTTTTTAAGCCCTGCCCTGGCAGTCCCAGTTTCTTAGGCAAAATTGGGCATTTGTCCCATTTGTTCCTGCCAGTGCCCCATTTTGTGCAAAAAGGGCAGTGCAGAGCAATGTCTGGAGGTGGGAGTGGCCATCACCCAAACTCTGCCTCTCCTGAGCAGGGCTGGGAAGGCAGGCAGGGCTCTGGTGAGAAGTGATGCAGACACCAGCCCCAGGCTTGTGCAGGGGGCAGGCAGGGTTTGGACAAGCATGGATGCCAGCCCCAGCCTCACGAGGAGTGGGCAGGGACAGGCAGGGCTCAAGCGAGTGACTTGAGCCAGCCCTGCCGGGATGCGGGAGTTGGGAAGGACTGCCTCAGGCCAGACTCACACATTGTCCCACCCTCCCTTAGGAAATATTGTCCTCCTAAAAATATCCTTGGGAGAGGACAAGAACTGGGTAGCCCTGGCACCGGATCAGGGGGCTAGTCAGCCCCCGGAGCGAGGCTCGCATGTGCACGAGAGATGGCATTCTCTCGGTGATTGGCCAGAGAAGCTGCCATTCGCTCCTGGAAGGCGGCAGGATGGTGACAACAAACCTGAGTGCTAGACATGCTTCTCTCATCAATTTCACAATACCACAGACAGAGAGCGCTGAGAGGAATGGGGAGAGAGCAAGACCCTTCATAATACTGGGATGCACTCAAGTGTCATGAGAAGGGCTGGCTAAGGTAATACAATGCTTGATACAAACAGGATTTGGCTCATCATCGGGACCCCAGTTCCCTCAAAGCAACCAATCCACCAACCAGGGGCTCGTGCTGGCAGTGCTGGAAGACTTGCTGAGTTCACCACATGCAGTGCTGACACACGAGCATGGCATTTCAGGTGCCTGGCCAGGAGGTGGATGTTCTGCTCAGACTCACAGTGGATTTGAACTGGCTGGATGCAGGAAGCACCGGGGGGCTCATAAATGATGTTGTTAGGAAAATTCACTCCCCCTCCCCCAAACAGGGCTTGGCTCTAGGGCTAAGTGCATTGCCGAACCTCAGCGCGCCATCGGGGAAGAACAGCAGAGGACCAGGCCCCCAGGAGCACTCACCGTTTGGTAGGTGATGACTAGCTGGATCACAGGCAGCGCGTAGAACACAGCGATTGTGATGATGTTCCTACAAAAAGGGGGAGAAGTACATCAGTTACCTGGAGCAACACAGCCTCCTCCCGCATGCACCAGAACAGGCTGGGCTCTGCATCTGTGTCTTCCATGCAGTCCCCCCTGCTCTTCCCCATCTCTTTCCC